CGCACATCCCCATCCCAGCTTGTCCTCATAGCTAAAACATAATGCAATAGGAGTTTCAATAGTCTGCAACACGTATGCTGTCTGCAGCAGGTAAGAAAGGCATCCGCGGAAATTCCTTGTTYGTTGGATATCTCGGCCGGGACGGATWTTCTTTTACCATCATCAATACTCCAGTTTCGAAATTTCTTTTGTGCAAGCTTAGATTCAACCAAGCATACATTTTAATTCCCCTAGTACATTATAACGTCACATCAAAACATTCTATTCTTTTAACGCTAAGGATTATGGTCGCCAGAAGGGATTAGAGTGACTGCATTTCAAATAAAATGTAGATGAACAATTATTTATACATGATATATATCAAAACACGATTCATTGAAGTTCTACTTTAGTAGAYAATWTAAACGGGTCCAAATTTCCACTGTTTTTGAGCATCGTTGTCCGATGTAAACATACTGTGACGTCATAAYGAAATAGGGCATTTGCCTTCCTTGTACACATAGTTTTTGCATTGCAATAGGATCTCTGCTGAATAAGAATATATTGCATGCTTTCGAGGTTAAGGCTGCACGTATAAGATYTCGAAACTGGAGATTTATGGGAAATGGGTCAAAGTTTAGAGCTTTTAAGAGCCCTTCAGTCAGAATAGATTTGTGAAATGGTGCTAATTGAGTCTGGTACTCTTATGTGGTACTCTCTTTGCTTGTAAAATCATGACAGGCCATTTGTTTTCCACTGTGGTTCCGCTTATTCTATAGTGACCCCTTGGTTTAGTGCGGCTTTCAATGCATTTTCACTGCATGTCAAACTGGAGTGAMAAGATATACATGTACTTCATTTGTCCAACAGCTAAGAGCTTATGCTATGATGATGYAAGTCAACCTGTGGTGCATAAATACTTCACTTATCGAAGAATTACAGCTTCCTAAGAATAATGTTAATCTGGAGAGTAAAATTCTTCACTTGTGAAAGATTTTGTACTTGGCTTTATGGCGAAGATGTACATTCATTTAAGAGAAGCTTCACTGGCTTCCAAGCGTCTCGAGGAGGAACCTTGGAAAAAACACACACACTACATCAGAAACAACTTGTACTTTAAGTAGATAATAGCCGACTTGCGAATTACGCATCAATAGTCACATACAAAGGAATCAAGACGAGGCGCCGTGCTTTTTTGTGAAAAATCTATTGTCTTTGGCACGGCGCCTCGTCTTGATTCCTTTGTATGTGACTATTGATGCGTAATTCGCAAGTCGGCTATTACAATATATCTAATGTTCTTACATTAGTAAAACTTTGTATCTTTTCAGGATAAAAAGAAGGTAAAACCGTATGAAGAAGCATCCTCCATCCACTAACAGACTCAGACGTATTATGGGTCTTTTCGGTAATCACACAGGTAACCCAAGGACACCAGCTGCGATGTTCAGACAGAGGATTGAATTTCGTCTGTTCTAAATCCTAGTAATTAAAGTCAAAGTCAACAAAAGTACTATCATGTTTACCACAATAATTATGCTAACTGCCCGTTCCAAAATTCAAAAAGTGACTGGTGACTAGTCACAAACTCGATACAGTTTGAAGCAATCAAAAAACAGACACCAAGACAAGAAAGAGCATACTACAGTAAAATTAGTATAGTTGCTGGGTTTGAGCGTATTTGGATTAATAATTACAGAGTTACACGCGTTTAAAACTCGAAAAAATAACAAAGAATGTATGGAGCTCTTGAGCAGCGTCCCCAATACTCGGTGAATATTCAACTAATTAGTCTCAATTAACAAGAACACTAATTGTGATGTTGTATTTGATACGGTTAGGTTCAGTTTTCGATAAGTGGACTTTTTTCATACTCGTTCCCAGTCTCCTCTAAATATTCCTTATTGAATTATGAATTTGAACACGAAGGGATCATAGTCTAGTCCCCAGTCACTTATTTCAACCTTCAGCCCCCTTTGCAACGGTCATATTGACTGTTAGGAACAAATAATCCAGTTTCGAATTCTCCACTGCTCTGTGTTAGCCTCATTTGTGCGCAAAATATTCCTAATTGTGAGAATAAAAGTGTGAGATTTCATATCAAGTCTATTGTCTCTCTTTTCAAATTCCATGCGTTTTCGCAGGCTATCAATAAAACAAAAGAATATGTTACTTGGTTTTGAGGCTAACACAGAGCAAACCAGAACTCGAAATTGGAGTATTCCCCTTTCTCGATCCCATTCTCACTTTTCACCAAAAAAAAACAAAAAAACAGGAAGCCCATCTCTAAAATAACCCTTGATCATACCTCCAATCTTATCCTCTTTATATCAGGGGCATAATCTTCCCGGTCTGTTGTACTTTGACCCGCCATAAACTCCAATTCTGATTCAACAGCTTGTAACTTTTCTGTAAGACTTTCATCTTCGACCTCTACACAAAGCGACTCACAGTGTCCTTTTTCTGATAAATCCGATATCGACGAATGCAGAGGTGACCGATATGGTAAGCCTTCTGTATTGAGTTTACCTCGAATAGGGCTATCCCGCCCTGATACAAGTCTCTTAAGAAGTAACGATTCCCGAGGAGCCTCTCTGATATTTGTTTCACTCAAGTTCATGTGAGGCTCCTCTGGGTCTGTCCTTTGCATGAAGACGTCTTTAACGTCTGCCTTTAGTTTGAGTTTTTCTTCAATGTCCATRCATTCCTCTATATCAATACTGGGAGTTGAACCAGAAAGTGGTGTGTTCATGTATCCTTTATTTGTTCTYTTAACACCAGCGAAAGTCCTAATGTTCTCAGTTTCATCTTCAATCGACACKGAGCTGCTTGAAGTCTGCTGAGTCATATCCATAGATTCAAACTCTTGAGGAGACTGTTGAAATCTTCCTTCTGTMAAATGTTTAGCAGTAGACTTTGAGCGTTGCAAGGAACTATCTGGAAGATTTTCTTCAKTTTCAGATGCMTTCAAGGGCTTGAAGTTCCATAACCCAAGTTCTCTTCTACACATGGTACAGAATAAGGTCGAGTGTTCTGCTTCAGCCTGGCTATTTCTGGATACCAATCCAAAATGGGATTGAAAGAGATGGAAAATTACAGTCACATAGTCGGAGACTCCGACAAAAGATAATGTCAGTAACTTGTTTCACCTACTTTTTYACGGTGTTAAAATTTATCTTTTTAGATATAAATTATGAGAATGGATAGCTGATAGCTCTGTAGTATTTTAGTATTTATAGTATATCATAGTTTGTATTTAGCAGCTTCTTCTGAAACACATCTGGGGGGGAGGTCATTTTTTCATAATGCGGACATAAATTAATTGTTTAAATAAATTGGTTCAATTCACAGTTATGAGCAGTTCATAAAAAAAGAATTTTAAAATAGAACAATAAAAAAAGGGA